ACCTTCCTCCTCTCGCTTAGTACTTGACGACGGGGTTGGGAAAATGCCGGTTTGGTCTGGGCTCCAACACTCCTAGTCCATGCTTCCGCCTTACGAACGGAATGCTTGCTTAACTTGTTTTGACGCTGACGACTTAGTGGGACTTGACCATTCCATACCTAACCGTTGCGTCTTTTACCCGTTGCTAAATATGCCCACGCACTGTTCATGTTTTTCAAACTCTTTTTAGAGGGTAACGTACTGTTTTGTAGAAGGCACCTAAGTTTCAGTAACAGCCTGCTGATTTTGTCGAAACGGCTGCAATCAGAAACTTGCTACTTTGGCTTTATGGTAAATCAAGTGAGGAGATTCAACGTCCGCGGAGCACAATTGCTACGTCATCTAAGGGCCCCCTTTGCATTTGGATAATGGGATAGTTGCAGCAACCAAATGACAGGATGGCACGCCTCTGGGTTAATTTAGAGCATTATCCTCCCAATAAATTATTGTAAATTTTCAATTGACTTATCCAGGACAGAAAGGGAACTGACCTATACTGGTTTTTTTCTTATGGGGATTACTAGTCGAGTATGTTTTAAAAATTACCTCGTAGACGACGGCCTGCTCGCCGTTATTCAGAGTGGCCTCAGTGCGGAGCATGGCCAACTGAGGATGTTCCTTCACGAAAGCAATAGCGGCCGTCTCGGCGATATCGCTGCCCACAACAGTCACACCCTTCTGGTAGAGCCACCGCATATCGACTGTCTTTCCGCAGAGTGGCACATAGGCACGAGTAAAGTTGTCACTAGGATGGAGCTTGTCCCAGTATTCTATGAGAGCTCTGTACAATTGGAAGTCGAGTGAGATATAATCTAGTTTCATATGAGAATGGAATAAAAATAGAGTATTATGTTTAAAGTTCGAAACCGACTACGTTGCCGAGGTCTGTTTGTTTACGCTTGGATTATGAAAAGGACTGTAATCAGACATAAGATTAAGAAAACGTCGGGTATAAATCAGGGGCGGTGTTATCAAGACGACCTAGCATACGTCATTGCAAAACGCTTCAGTAAAAAAGGTGCACTCCTAAAGCCCTCTGCACTTTACAATGGACATCATTAAGCGTAGGTGTACACAATCAGGAACTCAACGTTTCAACAGAACTCATTCTTAACAGTGGTCTGATTGGAGCCTAGTTCTCGTCAAGCACTAAGAACTAGCTTTGCCGCTCTAAATTTGCGAAAACGCCTTGCTAAAAATAGCTTCCACTAATTTCTTGCATAGCCGCGGCAGATGTCCAAACGAAGCTGATGAATCACGTTGGTAGATTACCGCCTCCCAGAAGCTTCCTGGTGAAAATCAAAAAGCAGTTCGAGTATGAACAACATTGGACTGTTTAGCCTGCTGTACCGATATGGTATTCGCCTAGTGAACATAGGTATATACAACATCGTTCCGCTAACGTACGCATATACATCGAAATGTAAAATGCTTCCGATTGAGGACATATGAGTATGCACTACAGCGGCCGAAAGTTATTAAGTGAACACTGCCAGAATTACACGGGCAATTATGTTAAAAGCACAGCCGCCCAACAAGCGTTTTGGAGACTCACGTCTTTTCAGGTGTGATCAAGTGAGTCTCATGGATAAAACTTCAGGAAGAGTTCACTTTCGATATGAGGTGACTTCCTTCTGCGGATCATTCGTTCCTTACCAAATTTGTCTATACATAACCACACTTCCGACGGCAGAGCCCTTCACTGTTTCATTCATTTCTAATGAAATGGCTGGTATCCTGTCAAGAAAACTGATCGAGTTGCAGTTATCAATAGATATAAAAGTTGGTAAAAAAAAGCAATTTAACGCACTCATTGACAGAGTGGTGGTGCCAAGGTGTGATGCCTTTTTGCCAGAGCTGAATCCAATCTTGATTCGCAAGCAGTGTGCGCGTTTTTTCATCCGTCATTATCCGCACTTGTGGCGATGGGGAGTCACGAGGAATTAAAGGCTTCCTTCTGAAAGTAAAACCGAACGCGGGAAATGCAGGTTTGATACAAAGTTAAACAATGTAGGAGGATTTGGAAGTCAAACATTCATTGTTCAAAGTCCGAAAAAAACTACAGGGGACGCACAAATGCCTAGATAGGTGGCTGGAGTTCCAGGAGAAACCGTCTTTTGGGTTTTCAACAACGCACAATTATCACGAGCATTCGGATACTTCCACGTGTAAAATCCTGACTCACTTTGCACTGACCATGTGTGTAGCACGCGTAAACGGGCTATTTAGCCCGGAGCGGTGGCGAATGAGCGAACACGGTAGAGGTTCCGCAAGTCCGCTACCACTACAAACTAATTCACGCAAGTTACCGTCCCTGCGCCCACAAGATGTGGAGCATCCGGCGGACATCATCGTTCGAGACGGTCAAACTGACATGTTTGCACACAAGTAGCGTCCACTCCCCCCTTAGATCAGTGAATTGAATAGTTAAGTATGAAGTTACGGTCCGAATGTCTGCAGATTACTGCACACTATCTCGTAGTTCAATAATCAGGATCATGCTATGCACAAATGCACCATTGGAATTCCAGACGGACAGCTGATCCACTGACTTCTTCTGCAGTCTTATCGTGGACTACAAACTGTGTGGATTTTCATCTGGGTACTGGAATGTGATTTCGTGATGAGTTAGGACGTATAGGTCACTCGCTACCCAGAAAATCCGTGATGCCAAAGCAACACTGAAAAACAAAAAGCACCTGGTGAGAATTTCCTTTAGGTGCCCTCCAAGTGTTGTTTGTCAGTTCCAGCCGACCCGCTGCATTATTCCTTAACCAAAATTTGGAAGCAGACTGAGGCGGCATTGCCATAACGCCGATCGCCAAGTAAATTGACAAAGTACTACATAAGGACGGCTGTGGCAAAGGGTTTCGCAGTCAAACTCCTTAATCACGACCCGTAGACAAAAAGTAATCAATGTGGCCGTAGCCGGAGTACGCTTATGTTCAACGACACTTCCGCGTATCTGAACCCACTACTTTCATAGAACCATGTGGTCTGTTTTGTGGATTTTTCATTGACGTTTGTCATTATTCATCAGGTCCTCCTGTGTGTGATTGTGCTGCATTATGGCACATCAATCGGGCTACTTCAGCTGATCCAGGTCTACCATTACAGAACAAGGACCAGGAGAGAGGGTGTTCATAGCCTAGGCAACAGTGGCTCGTTTAATTGCACACGTGCGTCAGCAAAGTACTCTTTGGGACTGGCGGACTATGTGACAGACTTAAGTACTCGGCAAGCGGTATTCGAGCAGGATAACATTTCAGTATGCCATTGTCCGCAGACTTCAGGTCTTATTATGCTGACGGTGCAGTGCTGGTGGCTCCTTTGTGCGAACACAGCTTGTTGTGGCTTAAATAGGTCCAAAGGTGCCCTATGGGAATGTTAAAATAAACACTTCGGAAACGAACTCCATCTTCTCGGATTCCGCGGCCTAGTATCTGCCAGTTCGGGGTAGCTGGTGAGGCACTTTGGCCAGTGGACAATTTATGCTGCATGGAGTCAAAAGTTCTGCCAAATGACTAAGGTAAAGAAGACCGCCTATCATACCAACTACGGGCGCGGCTTTGCCCACATCAGTCAAAAACTATAAAATTGGCGTGAGATCAATCAGAGGACACAACAGAGAATATGATATGCTTCCCCATAACAGTCCTAGGTGGATGTGAGTCATGGGTTATGACCCTGAAGATAACTGTGACTTGGCATACCCGACGGATGGTGCTTGCGCTGCTCTTCGAGCTGCCCTCTCTCATGACGTCTAGGAGGAAGAACTATTGTTGGTGAGAAGTGAGAACGGTCATTGCTAACCGACTGTACGGGCTCGTCTGGGTTTAGAGCGAAATTATCTAAAATTTCCTCTCGTCTGAGTCCGACCCTAGCTAGCAGCGGCACTAAGGCAACAAACTGAAGACTCGGGTGCGGTGCCCAAATGCTGACCTCGTGCTCGTTTCCGACCCTGTAGTTTTCAGTCTGTGTGGCTGGAACGTCAAATGCCTTTGTTTGGCTGTGGGTTTGCCGCCAATCAAATGCAGTGGAAGATCACTATTCTCCGGAGGGTGATCGACTAACCGAAACAGTAATTACAAACACAGACAGGTATAAGTAATTGAAATTGTGAACAATAAGCCCAAATATGAGCTGGAGATCGTCCACATTACAGCCAATATACATTATCATACCACACTATGCTCGTCCAACAGTTTCCTGAAAGCGGTGCACAAGCTCAGTTCCCAACCGAATAATCAAGATCAGGCTGACTAATGAAACTGAGAAAGCGCTGCAGATGCTCACCGGTGGCCTACCGGTGATCAGATCTCCATTCAGATTGCAAACTGAATATCTCAGTCAATTACACCTGCTACTGACATGGCCAAAAAAGCGAATGGTTTTGAGCATCATTAAAGTCTGAGATTATCTGCAGAGCACCAGCTCTTCTGCAAAATAATACTTAGAATTTCCTCCAGTTTGACTTGAAAGTGTTTTGAAGTTGGCGGCAGAGATCGCGACTCTGGGACCCAGGACACACTGTATGGGCAGAACATTGTAACTTAAATGGGATGATCCACCTATTTCTGCTTTGGTGAGAAACCACGAAAATTCACTGAACTACTTTGGAAGCTGAGGTCTTCACTAATGGCCACGTGATATCCCTTGATCTTTTGAGTCAGCAAGGCAACACAGATGCGACGCAATGGCCGCGCAACAACAAGGGCCCCGGAGAAGACGGCATACCGGCTGAGACCTGCAGGTCTTGCGTCGACTCTCTACCAAGCTGGCACCATGGGGTGATTGAACAATCGAGGAGAGCTGAGGTCGTTCCTGATTACAGGAGCTTGGGAATCCTTGCACCCGTTTTCAACATGTGAGATAAGGCAAGATGCGAGAACTACCTCGGTGTAAGCCTTACTGACGTTATTGCGAAAGTCTCCGCTAATGTCCTTCTCGAGCGATTCCAGGTTGTGTGTCACTCTAGGATGAGGCCCAACAAAACCAGATTGTGCGCTGGACGTGGATGTGCGGACCTGGTATTTACACTGAGGTGCATCCTCGAATTTCCCCACAGACGGGTGCTTTGTTGACTTCGGCGCCGCGTCCGATTCCGTTCAACCTGAGCGCTGATGACAAATAATGGAACTAGGTGGTATGCCAGCCAAAATCATCGCTAAAACTACGGCTTAGTGCCGCTGCGCCTCCGCGCAAGTTCTAGCCCATAAAAATTTCTTTCAACTGTTCGATATTCGGTGTAGCGTTCGACAAGGTTGTAACCTGTCGGCCATCTTGTTCAACTACACCACTGACTGTACTTGCGGAAATACCCTAGAGGAAATTGACGACGCTAAGTTTGCGCATGGGGTCCGTTGAGTGAGCTTAATTACTCTGGTGATATCGCCTTGCTAACCCCAAGCTTTGGTGACCTAGAGTCTATGGTGTCACAGTTGAATAAGGTCGCTAAATCCGTCGGTTTATCCATAAAAGCTGGGACGGCCCAGCCTTATCCCTGACAATGAGAAGGCACCTCTCGAGACTAATGGCTGTCAACTTGAAGTAGATGGTTTCAAATACCTCAGGGACAGAGAAAGGATGTCACTGTCTCCCCAATCGATTATGCTAGCGTTAGAAAGCGCCTATGGATCCGACGCGGCATCTTTATCGCCACGAAGATTCGTGTGTACGTAAGCAGCTCACTAAGAGTGCAACAGGCCAGACGCAGACAGTTGTTTCACGGTCGTTGCCGATAATCAGTACGTCATAGGCCTTACGAAGTGAGGTATATAAACATGGCAAGTAAGCGTGTGAACCTTACTGTTATGGTTAAGATCTCACTCGATCTTATTCTGTCCGCCCGCCAGCGGGTTTAGCGTTTGAAGCAAACTTCGTGGATGACTATCTCTTGCTCCAAAGTCTCACTATTTGCCTATTACGCACAGGGGAGTGGTCCTACTTGACCCTTTGCGATCGGTCAGATCACTTCTGCGTACCACCACTACAAAATTACCAAAGAAACTTAGCGGGAGTAGAAGGCCTTCTCCCTAAAAACTGGCATTACCAACCGCAACATACTGCTATACCCAGAATTAACCAAAGGAATGCATTCGATAGGGTTGGGAAAATTGCGAGTGACTAATGGTGTAGCGTCCGAAGACGTCGAGGTAAGCACACGCACACACGGTCGAATACACCACTTAGGGTAGCTTTCCGGTAATGTAACACTGGACAGTTGTTAAACACCACATCAGATGAGCACATAGGGATGCAGCAAGAAAAGGGACTTCTAGTACATGAAATCTATGTTATGATAACGAATGGTTAAAGTATAAAAGGTGAAAGATAACGAATACAAGGAACTAGTGAGGTACTGCACAAATGATCCATTTGGAGTGGGAGGTGGTAACGTCATATCAGTTAGACGCCAGTGGGAATTTCAGCACTGTTGGAAACTGCGGGTAAGGGCCGGGGAGTGTCCTGACGATAACGGAACCGAGGCACGGACGGACGGCGAGAGCGAGGGAGGCAGTGTCAGCGGTAGGTGGGGAAGAAACACCGACCATCTTCACTGGCGTAACGTCCGTTTCGAAAGGACCAGTAGGGGACGGAAGATTTTTATCTGATGGGGACAGTTTCCTCTTCTTTACAACCTGAGGTTCTGAACTCGGAACACTCAACATTCTTCGCATAGTCTCAGTCGCATCAGAACTGAACATTAAGCGTGGACAGTCCCTGGTAGTATTTGGTCGCCCAGGGCTAGACATTTGCAGGCCCGTTTAACTTGCGGGCTAGTGCAGGGCTGGTAACCTGACTGGCTGACAGTGCTAGATCGCTGCGAGGAAAGGAGCTTTTCTGCAACACCCCCTCCTCGATGCTCACCCGAGTGCATTTCGCGCGTCACGCCTGGGGGTCCCTTT